TATATATATAAAGGAAGAAAAGAAATGTAAAAGATAAGTTGAAAAGATTTGAAAATGTTCTTTTTTTTTCTACTTAAAATGAATTTTAACTTACTACAAAAGAAATATTAATAATTTGCAGTTCATTATAATAAATAAATATTTATAATTATTAATAAAAAAAAAGTAATAAAATATTTATAATTACTATTGTAAAATGTTGATGAATGAAGGATTTTGTTTTATAAAATTGGAACAACGTTTATCAAAGTTTTCTTTTTCTTTTTATTTTTATTTTTATTTTTATTTTTATTTTTTTATTACAAAACTCTCTCTCTCTCTCTCTCTCTCTCTCTCTCTCTCTCTCTCTCTCTTTATACACTAAAGTGGTCTTATGAAGAAAAAAAAAAAAAGAAAAAAAAGTAATAAAATTCTTTTGACGAAAATTTGAAAGAAAAAAAAAGAAAAGAAAGAAAAAAAACTAAAAATAACAAAGTATTTGTGTGTGACAAAAAATACATGTTTGTTTGTACTGGTGAAAAATTTATAGGAAAAAAATAAAATAATAATAATATTTTTAAGCCAAAGAAAATGTCACTTTTTGATATTTTTCATGTTACTCAAAGTTGATACATTTTATTTGATGAAATTCTTTTCTTTTTTTTTTTTTTTTTTTTTTTCATTTTTATTTTTCTATTTTAGACCGTTGCAATGCACTTCCTTGCGGATATTAAAGATGAATCCATTAATGAGTCAGTTTTAAAGTCAATTGTGAGGACTTGTCAATTTATGCACTCTAGCGTGATTAAAGCCAGTGATCGTTTTTTAATGGTAAGTTTACAACAACAACAAAAAAAGAAAAAAAAAAACATAAAATTAAAAAAAATATCGTATTATACAAGGTGGAACCGTATGAATTGGAAACATTTACATTTCTTTGAGTTATTTTATTTTATTTTATTTTATTTTATTTTATTTTCTTTTTTCTTTTTAACGGTAATGAATATTTTAATATATTTAATAAATATATTAAAAATAAATACAAATATTATAGTTATTATTTAAAAAAATTTTTTATAATAATCTTATTTTAATTTAACATTTATTTTTTTGTTATTATTATTTTGTTTTGTTATTTTCATTTTATATATAATATATATATATATATTTTTTTATTATTTTATATTAATAATTAAGAAATATTTTCAAAATATTTAAAGAAAACATTTAGGTATAATAAAATAATAAATATAATTTTTAAATGAAATCAAATGTAAAATAAATTAAAAATAATAAAT